CACACACACACACACACACACACACACACACACACACACACACACACACTACTCTATGTGCACGGGGCTCCTCTGTGCTGTTTGGCAAAAGAAGAGAAAAAAGACCAAAATTAATAGTTGTTTCCTTTTCTGCCAAATTATCAAATCTCTGGGAGGTTTGTTCAGTCATATAGTTAGAAAATAAAATTAAAAATAAAAGAACCTGGTGACTTTAAGGTGCTTCAACAGTAACTTCTGAGGGCAAATGCATCAAATCATCACATAAACTCATAACAGACAAAAAAACTTTGATTAAAAAAAGACTGTAAAGGCTGATTCATTTCACTTTACAAAAACTGTAAATAATGATGTATTTTTTTAAAGGGACTCATTACAAATGTATGACATCACAGAAAAGTAAGTAATCCTGAACTTWATCAAACAGTGCAGTTTGAAGGTGTTTGCTCTAGTAGATTTTTAGATATGCCGAATGAAACCCCGAAATGTGGGTCCACACTCAACGTAAACAAAGCACTAGGATGAATCCACTAAAAACAGCCTGCACGACATCATCCCAAATCTGTGAACGCAAACAAACATGGCGGGATCAAACAAGAAAAGATGTTTAAAGTGCCTGTGACGTGTATATTCTTCAAATACAAAAAGTCAAACAAAACATATTCATATTTAAGAAAATTGGAATAATACACACAATTTAACCCATTTTGTCCCATAACTGGCATATTTTCTTTTGAACTTGGCTCAGCCAAAGTGAAACAGGAAGTGACATCAAAGGGGAACTCTTTAATAAAGAAAACTATGGTTTTTTTTTAACTTTGATTCTTCTTCCTCTCTTTGATAGAAACTCAAAATAATCTACAGAAACATCAGATTCTTCTCTACAGTCTGTGTTATTAGCTGTTGTAGCTACGCTCTGTTTACATGCAGACATTCCCCTCTGACATCACTTCCTGTTACTTCACAGGCAAATATCCCAACAACTGTTCATCTCAGCCACATGAAATTTATTTTGCAATATTTTATCAATGTCCTCTTTCTAAAAATGTATTCATACGTATTACAAAAAAATTTGACGTCACAGGCACTTTAATGGGGGAATATTAGAGTCAACCTGCTGCGAAACTTGAAAGAAAAAAKTGTAAATAAATGAACATGAGTGGAGAGGCAAAGCATCATAGAGATTTGGACAAACTTGGCTTTTTCAAAACTTCTGCTCTAAAACTGTTAAGTTTTACCTGTTTTTAATCACTTGCAGGCTGTTTTGCAAGTAAACAAACAAGATATTTGGGATCTGGTCATACATTTTTAATTTCAGGACCTAAAGCAAAACATGTGAATTTTGTTTATTACTTTTATTTGTTTATTTATTTTTTGGTTTGGTCGTCAATGAACACCTGGGTTGACTTGAAAACAATTAAGTTATTTTCATAAATTGCTTGTTTTTTTATTATTATGGTTGTTTATCTTAGTGAGATGTTTATTTATCTCGTGCGTCACAAACTCACCACTTCGACCACTTTTAAAATCCCAAAGTGCGACCTGAGGTACTCCAGGTCGCACCTTATCCCCCCCAGAACGTTCCGCGGGTGGACGGGCTCGGTGGTGGGCTGGTACGGGCTGCTGGCCCCGGAGATCATGGAGGTGTTGGAGGCCTCGCCGTCAAAGACCTCGCTCTCCTCCGTGGTCCTCATGYTTCCAGGTGGGGGGGAGGAGTTGTTGCTGGACCCTTGATTAGAAGCGTCGCTTGTATGAAAATCCCGCCGGAATCTACCTGGAGGCGCAGGTTTTGTGCGGCAGGGAGCAGCTCACTGAGCCGGGCAGGCTGGAGGCGGACGGAGGGGAAAGCAGCCGGGCGGTCCGCTTCTCATCGCCTCCCCGCGGTGGATGCTCCGGAACATGACGCGCAGAAGAAATAAAATAAACCAGGCTGTTGTGTGTCGTGCTAATGTCACTCCGCGGCGTTTCCTCCTCCCGACTCTCTCTCTCCCTCCCACCGGAGAGAGCCGCGCTTCTGTTCAGCGGGTCGCGAGTTCGAATCCCAGCGTTCCTCAGACGAGTCGATCAGGCCACGCCGACGTAACGTCCGCCGCGGTGCGAGTCGCTTTTAAAACCCGAAATAAAACACTCAGGAACTACGGCTCGGCTGATCCAGGGCGTTCAGCCGCAGCTTTAACGCTTCCCTGCGGATGGAAGGCTGCTGGTTTGACTCCGCCCCTCTGAAAACTGCACATTCTTGAGTTGGCTCGGTGTCCACTTTTATTCCCAGTCTGTAAAACGAGCCCAGTTTGAACCACACCAGCAGAACTGAACTCGTGCATTTCTTTCAGGATCTACTTTCTTCCCTTTTAACCTTTCTTTGATGTATTAAGCTTCCTAACATGACCACATAAGACTGAACAGCTCGAGCAGACTTTCCAATAAAAACTGTCACTAAATGAAATGTGTGAAATTGAGTAAATAAATAAACAATTTCTGCTAAATTAAAGCTTCAAGGCTAACTTACTTTAAAAAGAAAATTAAGTAAACTTCCACTCCTGAAGGATGTTTCTTTGTACTTTACCGCCCTCTGGTGGCGGTTTGTGGTAGTACAG